AATCGAATTGACTGATCTTATCGTTTAGGTATTGGAGATGCGCTAATTAGTTACCTTACCTATCATATAAAATAAAATTCTCATTATTTGCCTAAAATCATAGTATTACGTAAATACGGGTAAAAACATTGATCATATGAACTTCCACATCCTCTGCTTTTCCTTATTCACTTATATTATTCATGTTATATTAAATAATTGTACTTTTTAAATTACAGTTTAATTCATTTGAAATAGTTTACAAACCACTACGAATGGACAATGCAATTCCATATCAAAGAATTACTCCTCACTGCATTTTCCCCGTTCACATTACACTTAAATGCCGTTGTACAATTACAATAGTTTCTTTGTATTTTGGACATTATCAGAAAACATTTAAGGTATATAATTATAACGTCCATGTGTTATGTTTCATGTGTTTTCTACGAAAACTAACTGTTTAATATCCAAGAAGGCACTAGTTCCAAATACTCGCTTACAAGTGACAAAGAACACAAGCTTGGTTAACGGTTCGAATTACGAGTTGAAGGGGTACAATTAATTAGTACTTTATGGTTTTAGAAATCAATATTTAATGCTCGATTTTTTTGTCTTTAGTTTACGTTTGTGCATTTCAAGGTAATTTTATAAGCAATTTTACAAAGTAATGACGAAAGAATCTTAAAAAAAAACTACATATTGTTTTCCAATAAATTATAATGCAAATCAATTGGCGCTGAAAGCAGCAATGAGTTTTTAAGCTATAAATAATTTGAATATTCGCAAAAAGTGTCTATTTAGTGAATTGTAAAATTCTGGGAAATCACTGGTTGCCTTTTTCTAACTAACGATATCTATTCTTAGAATTATTGAACAGCAATTGAAATTTGAGTGAGGAACTAGATAGCGCAGAGGTTAACGTGTTCGGTCTGCGATGCGAAAGTTAAGCTACTTTCGCAATGGCCGGGCAAAGAATGGGTGGCTACAAATTTACTTTCTCAAGCTCCTCCATGCTTCGGAAAGCCTATTACATCTGCAGTAGTAAACATCAAACAATCCGCACTGGATTTGATTGCATCCATAGGAAAGGCCTGGGCTCCCAGCAACGTGGACAATAATAGACTAATGATGATTATAAAGAATATTTTACGCATACGAAATCCACTTACTCTTTCCCACATCGATAATACAGAGGAAAGCAATCTTCTTGAGCTCCTAGAAACGTGTATATCTTATCGTTTTCAATTTGACATTTACGATAAAGTAAACTCTTTTGGCGTCAAGTCAATCAGGATATTATTATCATATCAATGTTATCTGACTGAATTTTTAAAATAATTTTTATCAATTTAAAAATTTGATCAAAACTGCTCTAACCATTAAGTAACTTACGCTATTACAGAGCGTATTTTCATCAACGTTCAACTAATCCATCCTAAATATTAATCATACTACATGTATTTAATCTAGGGCGTCTAGGTATTCATATTTATCTTATGTAAAAAAAACACATCTATTAGTTCTTTAAACTTTTGTCTTCGAGATAAATATTAATATAACATTGTGAATATAAAATTTGATATATTATACTCTTTATTGCACAAAAAACAAAGTTAACATTATAATAGTATGTAAATCACAAGCAAGGGTGGGCTTATCTCTATAAGAGATCTCTTCCAGCCAACCAGGCGGTGTGGGAGATCAAGCAGTAACGGGAGACTGACAAGTGCATAATTGTTAAAGTTGATATGAATGAATATTAACATTAATACATGATATAAGAAAAATATCACTAAAAAAAATAAGAATACATAAATAAACAATATTATATAATACATATAATATACATATATAAATAAAAATAATAATGATTACAAAAAAACTATGAATACGAACATTGTCCTAGAAAGTGCTCCTTGAGTTTAGTTTTGAAAGATATGATAGAGGGGCAGTCTCGAATATCTAATGGGAGTTTGTTCCATAGTCTAACAGCCCGTACAGAAAAGGAGTTGAAGAGAAAATTGGTGTTACTTAACAAGTATATCAAAAATTGAAATTTTCGGAAGCTTTTTAACCTCCCCACTGGAGCTCAGACCTTCCTTATGGATGATTACGGAGACTGAGCAATAACTCTCCACGCTGACCCAATTGGAGGGTATTGACGACTGAAAATGCAGCCAGGATCAATGGCTTAAAGTACCGAGTAGCGGAGAGTTTCTTAACAACAACGATGGTTTCTTAACAACTGTTTGTTACATCATAACTTTTTACTGGGAAGAGCAATTTTAATGATTCTTTCTTTATTTGACAGCTAGTGCTTGCCTTGTGGTCCCATTTTAATTTGGTCCAGACCTGACAATGGCATCTGTGACAAATAAGTCTGAAATTTGCATTAAATATGCGTGATATTTGTTACCCCAAAACTCAAAATAAAAACTTAAAGAAAATGGAACCGACTTCAAATTTTAAAAAGTGAAAAATAATACTTATCTTAAAAGCGGTTAAATTTTTTAAGAAACATTGAAGTCTGTAAATTTGAAACGGTTTTTTAAGTTTTATCTCAAACATTAAACTCATATAAGCATCGCAGACAGATTCACTTTCTCATTAATAATATAATTGCAGTCTGATATTGATCCTTCGTATCACCAACCGCAATTACATATATATATTTTTTTTTCCTCCGTAACTATTAAGTCTAGTCACTGTCTATCGTATATAGTTATGAAGTAAAATTAAAAGGCCGGCTATTTTCCTTCTTTATGGCCGTCATATCCATTCATATGTTGTACCGCACAAATCACGTATATCCTACTCGATAATTAATAAGGCACAAGTTGTATTGCAAACCATTGCTTGACTCAAACTCCTAAGTGAAATTTAAACATCTGTCATTAGCACTCCATTCATCTATTATAAATAAGAAACACTCTGGTGAAATTTTAACTTTTTTAACTTATTTTCTGTAGAAAAAGGCGCGAAATGACTATTATGAATATTTTGAAAGAATATAGACATTTTCATGAATACTTACTTAGATACATACATACTTATTTAATAGGAAAATTTATTATTTTATAGATAATTTTATCCATATTATTCTGTAGTAATATAATTCATTAATTAAAGACTTGTTCGAAATATATAATAATACATGAATATTACTAAATAAGTAAAAAACATATCACAGAATTATTTATGAACATTTTGTGGTTGTTTTACTCAAAAATTAAAACCATTAATCAAGTAGCGCCATCTATAGTAGGAGCCGTAGATTTTCACTTCTTGTCAATGAGCAATAAGATAAAAACACTGTCATTCAAAATTCGTTTAAAATTTATAATATCATCGACTCCTATCGTTATCGTGAATTTTATTATCAAAAATGTTATATCAAATTTATATCAAATTATAATCAAATGTGACGACATCAAAAATATTGCGAAATAGTGTATTACTACGCAATTGATAGGACGAAACAAATAAGTATATTATTAAAAGAGTGTCATTGCAGAATAATTTAAAACAAAATAAAAGCGTAAGCATTAGTTAAGGAACGTATAAGAAATTCGCTCTGTACTATGCCACAGTGGACCCTAAAAAAATATAAATAAAATTAATAAAATTAAAAAAGAGAACACAAGTCTATTGACGTGGTTTTATAGAAAATCAATAGATTTCTACTAAATTCATAAGATTTCCTGTATGAATCCGAAATAATTAAACATTTGAGTTTCAGTAGGAAGTGAGTTTAACAAAAATTTTTGCTTTATTTTATGTTATCAGTGTAACATGTATGCGCGTCTTGATAATTATTATCAATTTGCTAAATTCGGCCAATAACAATTTCTCAAATCGACTGATTAAAAATTTTAGAGAATAAGTATAATAATGCAGATATCGTACGTGTTTAAAACCTTTTATCAGCAATAAATTTACACCTCGGTTGTATACTAATTTTATATATATTTTTATGAACATATATTTACTAATATAAATATCAAAAGTCGACATATTTAGGTGTTTTTAAATGAAAAAATTACATCATCACAATATATAATGGTTGTCTGATGTTAATTTTATGACCCACGATAACTTTTCAAGTCAAAGAGAATTCTAAAATATTTTTGTTTCTTTTTTCTTCTTTCAATATCTAAGTTTTCAAGTTTTAAATAAGTATATGCTTATAAATATTGAGAGTAAAATTGTCGTATTCATTAGCGTATTATATTTTTTTTATCTATGATGGATAAAGTGAATTTAGTCTTGTCTATAGGGAGAATATTTTCTAACTTATATTTCATAGTGCAAAAATAGGATTCGTATTTCATTAAAAAACTACTTGATAGTCCATTAAATGGTTGTAGCATTCCCTCTTAACCACATAACGAGACAATTTACTGTGATTGTTCTTTATAAGCTAAAACACCACATCACCGATGTGATTGTTATTAGTTCCTATATGTCATCATTAACTCAGTAAAAACAGCTTAATAATTGTACCAATTAAGCGGCAGACAATCATGAATGAAATCTAATTCTAACGTCATTGTGTTTTTTAAAACTTCGAATTATAGTCGAACGTTACGCTAATGACACTCCATCGGCCGCCAGCCAGGCCCCTAAGTGATGCAATCAATGGATACTTCAATAAACGAGATCACATGCAGCCCGGTAGTGGCACGTAATATTCTTTCTCGCGGGCTCTAAATTGAGAATGTCGAGATGCATAGCCGCTGGCTGCGCCGTACTCGCTACCAGATAACGCCACGAATATGTGGTAGAAATAGGGTCAGTGCTGTGTCGTTGATCCGAGCACAGACTGCGACCGTGTGCAGCGCGGGGGGCGCCCGTCGGCCTCCTCACCGCCTCACCCCCGTCCCGCGCTCGGTACACGGCTTCCTCACCCGCCCCGATGTCGCCGCAACACTCCGTTTCCGACGCGAGGGCGAAGCGCACGCCCTGTATTTTAACGATCGCGACCGACGCGCTGCGGGCCCGCGGCTAGCTAAACCGCCATGTTTGACGTATTCGGCTCCGTTAAGGGGCTCCTAAAACTCGACTCCGTCTGCATCGACAACAATGTGTTCCGTTTACACTACAAAGCCACCGTGATCATCTTAATCACGTTCTCGCTGCTGGTCACCTCGCGACAGTACATCGGCGACCCGATCGACTGCATCGTTGACGAAATACCGCTCGCCGTCATGGACACCTACTGCTGGATCTACTCGACTTTCACAATCCCGAACCGGCTGGTGGGCCGCGTGGGCAAAGACATGGTGCAACCCGGCGTCTCATCGCACGTCGACGGTCAAGATGAAGTCAAATACCACAAATACTATCAGTGGGTGTGTTTTGTGTTATTCTTCCAAGCCATCTTGTTCTATGTGCCTCGCTACCTTTGGAAAACTTGGGAGGGTGGTCGTATCAAGATGTTGGTGCTCGATCTCAACTGTCCCGTCGTAGGAGAGGACTGCAAATCGGATCGCAAGAAGTTGCTCGTTGACTACTTCCACACGAACTTGCATACGCAGAACTTCTACGCGTTCCGCTTCTTTATATGCGAAGTGTTAAATTTCATCAACGTTGTCGGTCAGATATTCTTTATGGATTTCTTCCTAGACGGTGAATTCTCCACCTACGGCGCCGATGTAGTGCGTTTTACCGAAATGGAACCAGAAGAACGCGAGGACCCGATGGCTAGAGTGTTTCCTAAAGTGACGAAATGCACCTTCCATAAATACGGTCCTTCAGGAACCGTGCAGAAGTTTGACGGGCTTTGCGTACTCCCGCTAAATATCGTTAATGAGAAAATCTATGTGTTCCTGTGGTTCTGGTTCGTGATTTTGTCCATCCTGAGTGGTATCTCTCTACTGTACCGGATGGCCGTAGTGGCCGGTCCGCGCGTGCGCCTTTACCTGTTGCGCGCGCGCAGCCGTCTCGCCCCGCAGGAGCAAGTCGAGTCTGTAGCGCGCAAGCTACAAATCGGGGACTGGTTCGTGCTATACCAATTGGGGAAGAACATCGATCCATTGATTTATAAGGAGTTGATGGGTGAATTAGCTGAGAAATTTGACGGGAAAGACACAGTGTAGTTGGTTGTAGGCGTTGGACAGTGGAAAGTGGACTTTGGGTCGTCCGTGTGACGTGTGAGGGAGAGGCGCGGCAGGTAGCTGCGCCCGCTCCGCGGCCGGCGGCCGGCGCGCACAAAGAGCGCTCGGGGCGGCTGCACGCCGACATTCCAATACCGCAGCCCCACGCGGGGAACGACCTCCGCCGCCATTGTATTCTGGAACGCTTAACTTTTATCGCTACTGAAACTATGATAGTCGTTATAAACTCTTCCAAACGCAACATGCCGACTGAGCTGCGCTGCGCCTGCGCGAATGCATTTAGATATTAACCTTTCTCGGGGCCCGTCTTTATAATAGTCCTAGACGTAGTTAGATCTCCAGCCTTCGTTTTGTATTTTTATTATGTGTGTGCAAGTGCGTAATGTTGAAGGGACGTCTCATTGTGATATGTAATTATTATTATAATTAATCTAAATTAAGTGTTTAACGTGTACAAGGTTGATCGATTGGACGGCTGATTATTCCTAAGTTAGATAGGTAGTTTATCTACGAGTTTGTTATCGACTGTTTTACTCGATACGATATTGTATAAAGCAATAACTACTAATGTTAAGAGATCAATTTATTCGATTGCGATCCTGACAATACTGTATTTTTACTGTTTGATAGCTATAAACTTTTTTATACTGACGATATTAGGTCGACTACCTACTGTTAATATTTTCTGAATATATTTACTGCCATCATATAATTAGTATTATTTATCTCTTAAGAACTCCTTGTCATTATGATGAAATGAAAGCGGAATTATTGACAACAAACAACGTGCTTTGTTCTTTGTGAGTTGCTACACCTAACGCCATCTATGTGGCAGGCGGGCGATCACACAATGATTAGGCGTTTCATTCTGGTTTTATCTTTTTGTATTTATATTGATAACGTTATTCAAATGCACTTCTAAATATACACGGCTAGAGTGAGATGAACAACCGGTTTGGTACGTACAACCCTCGAGCATCAATCACCCTACGCTTAAGCAGGGGCAGCAAACAAAGAGGGCGAAACATTTTATTTATTTTCACCGTCACACCTGCGTGCCAGGTAAATTGACACCCTGGTATAGCCGGACGTATGCATTCTTTAGAACTAGCCTTTTGTATTACGCTACCCATTCACAAAGAAAAGAACTCTGTGAAGACAAGTATTTAATATACCTGTGGGAGGTAATTCTTTTTGGATGATTTATAACGATATTGTTTTGTTATTAAGCAATAAACTCCTATGGTATTGCTATCTAAAGATTAGGTGTTCGGTATTTATTGTAAATTAACTTAATTTACTTATAAACAATCAAATTATTAAGACCTTACATAATAAACGAGTAGAAATAATGTATTCTACTATTTATCATTCTACAATTATATAAATAGTACAAAAGCTAACTTCAAGCTGTCATAAGTCTACGGCGTGAAGTTATATAGAGCTTATCTTAAAGTCAGGGTGTAAACCTACATATAAAAATACGTTAATATACCTACATATATAAATGTCTTATTTTGTTGTAAACTTGAAATTAAATTTTGTCTATACAGCCACGAAACGTATTCACATTTTAATGTATTAACACGTTGATAACATAATATACAAACGCAACGACCCACTATTTAAGTGTGTCAAATAATCACTTCACTATTCTTAATGTAACACATGTGTAACCACAATAAACAATTGTTTCGTCCCTCTAAAGGCAAGATAAGTATAATGATATCCGCTTCATAACGTTGACTCTAAAATTCTTCTATATCTATTTTATTTAATTAATTTTATCAAATACAAAATAAGACAATAACATTTTTTATAAAATGCCGAGGTTTTTTTATTAAAAAGAAGATTAAATATCAACGCTCCACAATAAGTGAATAATTTTCAACATGACATTGTTTGCCTATCCATTATTTCAAGTCAACACAAAGAATTCGCCCATCGTCAATCATCTTATTTACTTAATTAAGAAAAATATAATAAAGAACTTTTTATTCACTTTACATAATGCAGTACCCGTAAACGACACGTAAGCAAACTCTGCGAAGAGAATAAAAATTAATACATAAACTGATTTCAAAAAAGGTTAAAAAAGCAACAAAGAGAACTTATTTAAAAGGATCTATTCAAGGTACTTCTATTAAAGTCCAACGGTTGATATTAACTACAGCAACTCTTTGGTTTACTTTTCGGTCCAGTTCAAGTTAGCAATAATTTCTGTTGAGAGATTGAAAACATATTGATATTTCTCAGTGTTTTTTGACATTACAAATAAAGCAACAGCAGACAAAGCTACAAATATCACCATCCCTTTCACACTTCACACACAGATAAGTGAGAAAAAAATAGTTACAAGGCCCTGCAACTTCCTAGAAGACCGTTTACCTGAGCGCTACACAAAAAATAGTTTTGAATGAAAGACCATTTTCGTCTACTAATTATAACAAACAATAACTATCTCTGTAGCATGAAAACTTAACAGAAAACTTAAATATTTCGAAATAAAACAAGCAATATATTAAACATTATTTAGAAGTATAATAATAATTAATAAAATTATTTGGTTAAAACTGTAACTTAATATATATTCAAGTACCAAATAATCAATATATATAGACGTATCTGACATTAAGTAATAATTTATATTGACTTATATGATCCCTGGTCAAATGTACAATAAAACTGATTAAACAATTTACTTGTCTTGTTCAAAATTTTTCTTATGAGTAAAATAATTAAATAAATATTTATCGAAGGTAGTGCCAATAAAATATTCGTCTAATAATTTCAATGAAGAGAAAGATGAATAGTAAATGCCAATAAAATATTCGTCTAATAATTTCAATGAAGAGAAAGATGAATAGTAAAAAGTAATTTGGCGGCTCTCAGCATTCTATTTTAGTTTAAAAGCACGAGGGTAATCCCATAACAAAAATAAAAATGTGAGTATAACTGGTTGGCGGTTAAAAGTTTGATAATACGAGTATAATGTATTTCCCCGACCAATTCAGTGAAATAAAGTGAATTTTGTAATGGTTTTATTATATTTCAATACGTTTATATAAATATGGTTTATTTTTTCATCACAGTATGTAGGCAAACCTTAAAATTGTCATTGTAATATAACATATATTACTATGACTTTGAAATTTCTTTTTTTAATTTAGAAACATCAGTTTCAAAGGACAGGTATTTTTCATATTTACTTAAAAAATTAAAATCAAGACATAACTTTTATATGTGCATATCAATGGATATATAATATCGTCGAATAAGAAATCACTAAAATTATATAAAGACAGTTGTATCCACAAATAACTATGTAGCTCATTAACTATAAATAAAAATATATGCAAGTGAATAGGGAGATAATATTATGACAAACATTAAACATTTAAATTAGCTAATCAAACAATCTGTTATATCAAACTCAAATAACCTGTGGTTATAAAGTATGACGACCTCCATAGCCAAATGGCGCGCTAGTTTCGAGGTGTTGACATCTTTAAAATCCTCAGTTCGATTCCCGGTCGGGTTAATATTATTACATAACTATTTTGTTTTAGTCTGGGTGTTTTAGTAACTTCGTTGTCTCATATTCCATAAGACGAGGGATTTAGTTACTGATCTTGGAATTTGAGGAATGTGTGTGATGTTGTCTTGATGCTGCAAACTCGATCTTATTCTAACTCCATCCGTATCACCTATTGTTAAACATTTAGAGTTTCTGGAACATTTTAATTAATATAATTCACTATCCTCATTGTAAGTAGGGTAACCAAATCGCTTAACCTAACAGGTGGACAGACCTGCCTGTTTTTCGGATATTAGGGTAAAAAGGCTGGGCACCCTACAATGTCGATTATTTCATGTCTTAATTATAATGTAAGTGTAAAAACCAAGATTTTCTTATTACTTATTTATCATACATGTTCTCAAATTCTAATGTAATATAAATAAAATCGAATCCATAATCAGTCTTATTATTTAATATGAAGTGACTTTCGAAATTTATTTTGTCCGGACACGCAATCAAAAAAGCCAAACTATGTCTGGCTTTATTCGGACGCCTAACTACTCTAAGTATTGGTATAGGTACTTTACAGTCGTTATATGCGGAATAAGAAGAGATCTAAGTAGGTATTCTGAAGATATTTAACGACACTTTGAAACTACAATACCGTTACACCTATATACAGATAGACCAGTGCTACTATTTTCTTTAGGTCCCAAGAAATTGATTCTTGATAGGAAATTAACATTTATATATTGTCCCAGGTGTGGGCATGAAAGTAATATAGACATTGTGTGTTAAAAAAAAACTCCTACGAGTGCCATTTAATCAACTGTATTACTTTATCAATATCGATTAGGCATCGTTGATCAATTTGTCTTTATATCGTGTTCGCGGGTACCTCGCCTCTAATTGCTATTCGCACACATGGTGTCAAAACACCTACTAAACAACTTAGACACGACACATCACATTCGTAGTTCTATTTTCATGATTTTGGACCTAATTATAGATTAAATAATACCGTGTCAGAGTAACCATCTTCTGATTATGGTTAAATTTTATATATACATCAAAATAACAAAGTTGCAATTTTTAATGAGTTACCGAAATTAAAAACAGAACAACTGGAGAAGATCCGTGCATATATTATCAACTTTTCTAACGTGTTTAAAATTTCAGGTACACGTCTACGAATTATTATAAGTTTCTGTAGTTCACTGGACCCCCGTGACACGCCTGTTTTGTCGCCATCTCTAAGGTCCCTAATTCGATTCACATTCTGACCAATTTAGAAATTGAACCTTTCTTTGTCTCGGGTCTGCGTGTTGTTTCCTTCGTTGTTTAAGCTAAAGCATTTGGTACACAAAACATCTATTTGGAGCCGGAAAAAATGTAGATTTCTTTGTACATCTGCTGTTTGTGTCATTTATTAATTATACAGTGTCAATTGTGGTGAGAAATAAATTATTTTTTTATTTATATCATTATTACGCCAAGTTTTCAATTTGAGCAATTAACAAAACATTAACAAACATTGCAAACTAACAAATTAACAAGCTAATGTAAAATTCTTACGAATGTTTAATGAAGTGTAATTAATTAAGATAGATTCCTTATGAGGCATGTTGCTCACTTGCTCATTGTATCTGCATCAGACATTGCTCGGGAATGAAGTCATATCATTATGACAACAGCTGACAATTGAACAGCAGCTGAATTGTAAAGATTCATTACGCGAGCATGTCATAAATATTTTAAAATGATAATATA